TACGACTTGTGCGTCCGCGATCTTGCGTCGTTGCGGCGCAGCGGGTTCGTTCATAATTACTGGCAGGCTGAAAACTGAAATCGAAAGAGGCGGAACGAAATTAGTAACAATAACGTTAGCCTGCGGCACGGAACGCTGTAACGAGCGCTTTCACATGGGGAACAAAGGAGGAACCGAGCTTCGATTTCGCTCGTTGCCGAGGGAAAGAGGGAAAATATATACGCGCGCACGTTAAAGTTGGAAAGAGATGGAGAATCAGAAATAGAAAGAGAAAGAAGGGAGGCAGACGGTTGGAAGAGAAATCGAAAAGCAAAAAAAAAAAAAAAGGGCCAAGCAAAAAGAATCGCGGAGAAGACTCAAAAACTCGGTGGCTGCAATCCGCAATCCCTGGCCGAACATTCTCTTCCTCCCTATCTCGCTCTTCGATTCGAGCTAACGTAAGCGCTTTCACGTGGGAAACCAAGTGGTTCGGCCGCGTTTGTAGTCAGACATCGCCAGTAGAATTTGCGCGCACACTGCTAGACCGCAAGTCACCGTTGCTTGTCGCGCGCTAGCGATAGACATGCTTGCATTTTTCAGCACCTTCAGCGATTCCGCCGTTCTGCTACGTTATCTATACCGAAACTTTCCACTTTCCCCTAACGTTCGCCCTCATTTTTCTGCACGCCTTTCGCTGAATCATTTTCCCCCCTTTTTGATCATTTTCTCTCTCTCTGTCTCTCTGTGTCTACCTCTTTCTCGTTTTTGCTTTCCTGGTATTTCGAAGAGATGCGAACGTCACGTTTCTGTAAAAAGAGCGTCTTGTTTTAGAATTCGAGGTGAAATATTTTGATTGTTCTTGCGGAAGAAATTCTTTTGTTTCGAAATGAGCACACTTTTGGGTTAAAATTTTGGAATCGCTCCTATTTTCAATCTCTATTCTGGCATTTTTGTAAGAGCGAAAAAGCAGTGTTATAAAGCAGTTTCAATGCGAAGTTAAATTACGATTATTTATATTAACCCTTTCAATATCAAATTTTTGATGCATTGCGTGGCGGGGGTTCAGATGCATTCTGAAATGTGGAGTTCGATGCTATTAGCAGCGCAAAAATTGATTCCGGACACGTTCAACGAAAGATTTGTATATTATAATTTCACATCTGCAAAATAGAATATTGCGTCGTTTGAAATTTCTATCGGCTACATCGGCGTGGTATTTTAAATTCGCAACGAACGGATTTGCAAAATACGACACGGCAAGGAAAAAGAGTCACAGGATAACGATACGTGAATAATATCAGAATTTATAATGCGACGTTTACAAAATATTTCACGAGCGCCGGCCAATTGAGTATTACACAGCACGCAAACGCGCCAATGCTGGTCTCTATTTGAATATTAAACGAAATCTTTGTTTCCGGTTTAATTAATAAATTTCAACGTCGATTTATAATTCACAATCTGTACAGCCAAATAGAGGCATGGCTGGCCAGGGAAAATTACCGTGTTACTCGAACGTAATTCGAAGGACTGACTGCCGATCGATAAATCGTAACGAGTATGTATGCGTGAGTTTTCAATGTATGAGAAATAATCATGTCGATGAAATATTCGATGGAAATTATCGTTGTTACACGAAGGTATTTTCTATAATTAGGATATAATATCGTTGGACGTTATAAAATCGCCGATATAAGAAACTCGTTTCTACAGTCCTAAAGAGGAAGTTGTTTATTCAATTACGTTATTACACTTAAGTATCATTTACATCGCATGCCGATTATAAAAAATCTCTCTCCATATCAACTTTCTAATTATTATTAAATAGTTTAATTACGTATACTTGTATAGATACATTATTAATGAAAGAAATATTAACACGATTGTATTTAATTACGGTTGTATAATACTTCTCAATGATTAAACAGAAAATATCTTGTCTAACCGCAAACGTACAATTACTTTTCTATTATTATCTGTTGTCGATCTATTAAACGTACATATATAGACTTAACAGTGTTCACGTTATTATAACACATTGCAATCATTTGTAAATAATTAACGCCTCATCGTACTCAAATTTTTAATTAAAGTTTCACCAAAAGATTCGCGGAATGTTATACGTACACTCAAACACTGAGGAAACCATAGGGACGGACGTTCGTTATAGTCAGCGCGAAACCGTAGAACGAGCTTCATGATCAACGATTCTCACGCTAGATTGGTTACCTGCGTGAAAATCGAGACGTACCGAGATACTTTTTCCATTAATTTATGAAAGTGGAACCGGAAAACTGTCGAAATCATAGAAATGGAAGTAACATCGTGATTTTTATTTTTCATCGAAATGATGATTTCCTATTTCGATTAAATTGCGAGTTCTTTTATTACTTTGGCTTACAGCTACCATAACCGACGCTATGCAGCCCTATGAAAATGACCACATTAAAATCTATGTCGCAACACGACCGCCCATCCATCGAGCCAGGAAAACTAATTAACTAATTTTCTATGGTTTACTTCATTCCTCCCCCGCTCTCTGTTGTTGCGCATATGTGCGTGTGTACTGCGACCCAGTGTTCTCGCCACTTTCCACGTTGCTCTAAACAAGGTTCGAAGCAGGTTTTTGCTGGTTAACGATAACCAACGACGGCAGAAGTTTACTCTCCTCGGACCGGAACGTACCATTAAACTTTACGCCGCCACGAGAGTCGTGCGCAGCTTCGACACGTTATGTTTTCAACTTAGATTTATCGACTAACCGACGACTGTTCCAGAAATAATCGAGAAATTGTTCCTCGATTTCTTCCAAGATTGGTGTTCCTGTCAAATGGTATGCCACTTGATTAAAGACTTTTTCTTTTCCTGGAAAAGTCCTCCGTTTTTCCGTTAGAAGTCACGCGTGCGGCTGAATCGAACAGCGATCGAGTAAGCTACTTAACACATATTTAGAGATTTAATTCAATATTTTTCCAATATCTCAAAAACATCCTACAGAATCCAGTAGCTTTCCACGTCAAATAGGAATAACTGATTACTGTTCGGTGGTCGCGAGGTTTTCCAGGGACGACTAGGGCAAAGGTCGTGGACGTCGATATCTGTGAGTATGTAACAATCGACACAATTGGAGCAGCTTTTGCGCTCATGTACACGTCAGAACGCATTATTGCTTGGCATTCGGCGTTTGCTTTTATGTAACGCTGTTGTTTTTTTGCAAGTGTTCTTTTACCATCTAAATAGAGAGAGCGCGAAACGTGCGGCCGTCACTGACGCCGAAACCGATACACAAACGGCAGGCGTTTTACATCTGCATAGCATACCGACGCGCAACCCAGCGGAACGCTTCTTTTCTTCTGCTTTTTTTATCTTTGGCCTCGAGTCCGTTCCGATATCGCCACTTTTGCTGTTCGATTATAGCACGAGTTGGCGTTTCTTGTAAACGCGTTCGATTTGATCGCGCGGCTCCCACGCGCTTACAATTGGACTCGGGCCAGGCTATGCGCGTTATCGTACTTTACACGCTGCTCTTTCATCAACTATGAGTCACTGCTCTCTGGCATGCACCTCTGTCTCTCTTCCTATTTCCCTCAACCTCCATTGTGCTGCAGAGTATGATATACGATGATCGATAATTATAATAATTGCTTTTAACAACTAAAGTTTAATATTGCAAAATGTTTTCTTAAACCTACAAATGTATCGTTGTAATTGCTCAATAACATGGCTGTTCTAATACAAGAAGAAGACATAATTACTCTTTGTAGAAGTAATTTACAAGATGCAAACGCTTCTGCGGCGCAAACATCATTGTTGAAAGTAGAATGCGGAATAATCGAAAACAAAAGACCTGTACGTATTAACATGACACAACCATGAGCGGAACGCATGATACATTCGTAGCATTGCAAAATACTCGCACGTGTTACAATTTTATCCTATTAATTTCGACACAGGTTCAGTCTCTCAGTCACAGGCCGTTAAGGAGTTAATGATTTTCAGTTTTGTTATTTAAATTCCCGATATGCATATATTCCTTTCCATCATCTTCCGAAATTTCTTTACTACACCAGATTTGTACTTTTTTCAACGACTCTTGTACTTCTTTTAGCGAATACCATAGTGATTTTACTTTTGAACTTTGAGAAATTATACGAACCTGTTATACGTGTACGTACGTTAAGCCAAATACTAGAAGCTTCGATACATTATTTTGTCTTGTAATAGATTCTAAAAAGATATTCTTCGTTTATAAGTGGTTAGTCAACAGGACTTTGAATATCGTACTGCATCTTCGACTTTTGTAGAATTTACCTTTTAAACGAGTTTCGCGTCTTTGATCCGTCACCTTTCAATCTCTTTTACTTTGTAACCTCCTGACAATTTTCTGGTCCCAATCATTTTCTTATTTTTCCCGAGAGCTGGTCATAACAGGTCACCGTTTTAGTTTCAAGTTTCAACATACGTATTTACATTGCAGTACGTTTACTAATAAAATATTTTTTAAATAGCATGAGTTGGAAAAATATAAATTGAATCCACCGTGAATTTAAATATATGATAATATGCCGACTTTTATTACAAAAAAAGATATATTACATCCAACGTGCTATTTAAACAATTTCATTCAAAACATTGCATAAAATAATATAATATTATTGTGTCAGTTGCTTGGATTATCTTGACGAAATTTCACGACCTAATAATAATTTCGATTATTCCGCTGTGCCATGTCAACAAATGCTACTTTGTTAATACCGTAAAACGTCAATTATCTAGATATCAACTATTCGAACATCGATTATCTGGACTTCCAATTATACGGGCATTGCCTCTCTGACTCTCGATTATCCGAGACATGTAATCAGAGATTCTTGTACATATAGGTCACCAAGTCGAAAATCTACTCCCTGTGTACACGCAGAACCTTCCTTGCATTACGCAGTACGTAGTATACGCTATAGTATCGATATACAAATGCTTTTGACAGTATATAGATATTCATAACAAAAAAAAAAAACAAATATTTTTAACATAATATATTTTAACGAATCCAATGGTAAATACAGCTATACATTTTACAGGAGAAGAAGGTTTTAGGAGAAATAATTTTCGGAAAAATTCAATTATTCCGAATGCGTTTGAAATATAAACGAATTTCTACGTCGTAAGTCTATTTCAATAATAAACCATACGTGTTCGACGCTTAAAATAATTTCAAGTGTCTTCCTCAATGCCAGTTAAAGTAAATACACTGTAGATACCAGAAGTATAGAATATCGTTGAACGTCGTTTAATCGCACAAATTGACATTCTTATTCAAAATTATTGCAACATAATATTTGAAAAAGAATTAGAATAAACAATAACGTTAAAGAAATATATTATATTTTTCTACATCAGCATATACGTTATTCAACGAACTGGGAAGGTAAGTGATAAAGCGTATGTTTTCTTTGATTCAGTTAAATTATTCCCCTGCTATTACGATACGAGATGACAATAGCATCGTTTAGCTAAAAATTATTCGCTCGAAGCAGCATTTCGTACCAAGTAGGTGTAATCGTATCGAAGTTAACTTGGAAAAATAAACGTATTACATCATTTCAAATGATGCAAGTAAAATCACACAAGATTGAACAAAAATTACGCTTGCATTCGCATCGTGAAGCCTTGAATAAAACGCGGAGAAGGGAAACAAGTTTCCTATCCATTATCACGATGAGCATGTTGCAACGTCATTAGCGTATAATTTCATTCCGTGTTGTATAATTGCATAGCATAATTGTCGACGACGGAAAATCCTCCGCGATACTCTAATAACGCGCAAACTTCTCGTCTATACGAAACGAACCTTGTCTTCCTCGTGTCTACCGAGTCGTCCCGTTCATAACGAAATAAGAACTATCGTTGTAAAAACTGACCCACAATATCGTAATACATACATACGTTCATCTATAGATGAGGAAAATTCCTTTCTGATTTTGCCTTGACGATCAATATATCGCTACGTGCTCGCTCATAGCACACGTCAGGCATGTTGATTGTAAAACAATAGTATAGCATAGTGTGTAGTGTGTGTTGCTGGAAAGAAGACTAACGTAAGGAATGCATATCTGATTGCTTATTTCATGTAGGCTCAATGTAATTCAGAATCCGTGTATTGGCCGAAAACGTCACGTATACGAACAAGACAATAGATACAACAACGTGTGACGGTAAACAATACAAAGTACCGTCCTTGCCCCTGTGTCGGACAGCTAGTTTTCTTTCCAGCAATGCACGACACATTACATAACATATACAAAAAATGCATTACCGCTTGTTAGCAGAAAAAGTTAATACAAATTCATATTGTACGAACGTAAAGAGATAAAATCTAGAGATTCGTTTCAACTCGCTATTTCATATTGTTTATAACACAGTTATTTTCATCCGATTTCTAATTCTGGGTTCCCATAACGGTAATTGACACTTGAATGGCGGATGTCTGATAAGAGTTACGAAAGAATGACCTCGCGTACCATAACCTCGTTTATAACTTAACTGATAGTATTGTGAAATAACAATTATTATAAGTGAATGGTGGAAAAACTTGAATGGAGCGACTGGTATATAAAGTCATCGTATAACAAGATTTATAATTAACGCGGAGCGAAATAAAACGATCTATCTACGATCGTAATTCGTAGATAGATATTCCTTCGGTTTCTACATAGATTCCACTCATTTGTAATATAAAAAAATGGCGGTATTAGATTCTAATTAAAAATAATAATTCTAAACGTGTAATTCTAATAGAAAAATTCTCTAATTCGAAGTGATTATGAAAGCTGGCCAAAAACAACGCAAACCCTTATTCGGCGGTAGCTTGTACATATACGCTTGTGGATAACGAGCTTAAGAGAAAAGCTCGCACGCGAAGGGTTCGGAAGAAGAAAGAGCACGAGTCAGCGCGCCAATCGTTCCTTTTCCCGATACAGACACCTTCTCGAGAGTTCGTGTCCAGACCCGTTACGTCGAAGGAACAGAACGCCTTCGAAGATGCAGCCACTCCGTGAAAACATATCGCAGCTTTCCTGGCCTGGTCTCTCGGTCAAAAGCTCTCGCAGAAGACAATTCGCTTCCACTTTGCTGTATCGTTTCTCGACACTGCACCGCGGCAAAGACGCCGAGAATAAATCCACGATACCGATTTGTCGCCAGTGCCTGGTGATTTTGGCACGAGGCTCACGTGCCACGATAAAGCGACGTGCCGATCGGGACAAAGACGCCGGAACAGCGTTTTCTCCAGTAGCCACCGCACGTTCGACAACCCGACGAATGTCGTAAGCTCGCTCTGTTCTTCAAATTCTTTTCCTTTTATTTCCTCCTGTTTCCTTTCCTTTTCTCCCTTTTCTATCGCGGAAGATATTATGGTTTGTAGATCGCGTACGCACGAAGAGAATCGAAGTTTGCCCCGAGACCTTTTTCAGATTTATTTATCAGACTCGTTTGAATATTTCTGTTAACCTTTTTAATGATTCCATGAGAATGGAATGATACATTGTAAATGTATACTGCAGACCTAAAAAGCAAACTTGTCATTATTTATTGTCAAATTTAAAAACTTGCTTAAAGATTCTCTAACGTCGCGTTATTGGAGATTATTTTCAAACGTTGTTTTTCAGATAATTATATAAAGTAACTTTATATATTATATTATTTGAAATTCTCTCGAAATCTGCTTCATCGCTGTGCGTACAACTTGACAGTAGACGAACTATTTTCTTGTAACAATTTCAGTTAGGAGTATCAATTGATGCGTGACCCCGAACTTATGAACGCTGACGTACAATACAATACCACGAGTAATTATTCGAATGAGTATATGTTTGCTATTTATCATTGGAAAGCTCGTATCTCCGATTGTGAGTTTGTATAATTCAAACCGCAAGAATCAACAAAGAGAAATGCTGCTTCCTTTATTATGAAAAATTTATGGTGTCGGTCAGTGCAATTAATGATCATGTTTATCGTTAAAGGCGTTAAGGCAGATTCGGAGAAATATTAATTTCAAGTAGTGATATTATCGAATCGTATCGAATAAGTATGTTTGAAAATTCATGGCAATTCGAATCATCACGCGTGACCCAATTAATAGTACTTGAATCAAGAATGTACAGATTCTGCTTGATTTTACGTGGCGCAAGCATACCATCACAACCAAGTTTTATCTTTCGGGAATAAAATCGTCGGTTCCAGAAACAATCTTTCTGCCCTAATAAAATTACAATTCGCTGTTTTTGCAACGAATAACTGAATCTTTATACGGTTTAACTTAAGAACGATAAACAGATGATGACGATGACTGGGCCATTTTTGACCAGTACAACTTCCTACGTGCAATTCCATTGTTAAATATGTAAAAATAGACTATTACAGTTACTATTATAGAACTTTACTCAAAGATTTATCGATTATCATTCTCGTTATCTAACGGAAGCTATGTAACTATCGAAATTATAAATCTGAAGAAACTAAATTATACGCAACGAGATGCGTAGAATCATAAAATATTACGAAAAAATTATGAAAGATATACAACCGACTGTCGTATAACGGGGAGATACGTTGCGCGTTAAAGGAAGTAGCGTCATATACGCCGTATACGTATAATATGCGTTATACGAATCACTTACATATCTTGCGAATTTTATTATTAATGCGTTCCTTTTATATCCTTGTTCGTATCCTTTATTTCGTTGAGCATCGTAGTCTGAAACGACCCAACCAGCCGAGGGTTAAACGTTGGAACAATCGGCTCTTTGTATTTGGCTCGTTAGACGAACGATAATTCACGCCCGCCATTACGCAACTTAAAAGAAACCCACAAACGCACAGTACTGCCAAACGAAACAAACTGCGAAACAGCGAACACATTTGACACGTGACGCAAACCATTGACAAATTTTCGTAACAACGATCGTTGTCGAAACGTGTCGAGCAGCGATCTAATAATATCGATACCGTTTCAACTATATGCGGTCCACGCAGCCATGTCGTACAACTGAAACTTCAAGGCCATCGAAATCGCACGTACGCTGGTAGAAGCGATCATAATATGTCTCGATCGGAGAATTCATACGGCGCTGATAATCGCGAATCGATATCGAGCAATGAAAACAGCGAAACAGTAGAAATCGGACGTTGTAACACTGTAACACGCGATACGATACGTTGACCGGCTTAAATTGCGAAAGCGTGCAACAGCCAGTCAAGGTGAGAAGGCCAGCGGCGATGTCAATCTAAACAGTCGCCTCATCATTACGCCTTACTGACAGAATCATTAATGTGCGATAAACAGAAGGATTAGAAGCATGAATAGCTAGAGCTGGACAAATGTTTCGTGTTTCAAAATAACTATGATTTAAGATACAGCGCTTAGAACGATCGGAGTATCGCTATCCGTGTTACATCGATTTCCATGCCGATTTTATGCTTCTTATATTTGCATAAATTGTTCTATCGATTATCTCTACGTCAATCTATATACATATATATGTATATCACAGTATCGTACGAGTAACATGTCAATATATCAAACTTAGTAGACTCGTCGATTTTGTTCACCTTGTTTCTCTATTTTATTCTCCTTTTATTTGAATAGATCGGATAGAACTTCATTTTCAACAAGCTCTGTTCAAAGAATTTAAAATGATTGGAAGTAGAAACACGATTGTGTAGTAGGAAGATAGGAAAGCCCAATCACGTTACGAAACGCAAGATGAACGTCTGATGATCTATTTAAATTTCAACGAGATCATCAAGCCATACCGGTAGTTGAAGACTTTTATGCCGGGTCGGATCCAGCACTCGCGCCTATTGTAAATTTGCCCCGAGCGAAAACACTTGTCACTTGTCCAAAGATAAACGAGGCTGGCTTGAAACATTAACGAGATCTCAACGAATACCAAAGTGGAAATGTTAATCGGCTGACAAAGCCGATTTCGAACCGATGAGATCCACGCTTGAGACAAAAATATACAAAGCTTCGCCCCTAACAAAAAGATCAAGAACGTATAACATAGCTTTCGCTACCATTTCCCGTACGATAGAAGCATACTTTTTTATAACCAAGCATGTCGCTGATTCATATTGCATACTATTGCGACGATATTTGTGTTCTAGTCGAAGCTTTAACCGCTGACGAACGCGAAATTCGCGTTAATAACGTACAACATGGATAATGTGGAACGTGAGAACGTGACGACCATTTCTCCAATTAATTCTCTTCCTAGCGCACCATCGCTCCACTGTTCATCCACTATCATGATGATCGTGTCAGCAATGGACATTCGTAACATCCCACCGTCGATAATTCTGACTGATTCCAAACACGAACGACTTCAACCCTCTTCCATATAAATATCAATAATTGGAATATTTTTTCGCATACCTACCCAACAGTCATAATCCAAGGAGTGTTTCGCACTAATTATCACCGAGAGATTGGTTCACTGATTACCAACACGATTGCAACAGATTCTTCGTCACACCGTTTGTTTCTTCTTCTATTGCAACGTACCAGTAGCACTGTTCCAGTTTAGCCGGCTAGCAAACCACCTATCACGAGATTACGGTGCTCGAAACACGACACACGCGTCGCGATGATCGCGTGGCAGATCCTGGACCGCGAGGTTGTCAGGTCACTCGCGAGAACCCCTCGAAATCTCAGCTATCCCTGGTGAAACACGGAAACACAAGGTAACGAAGCTACGACAACAAGGATGACGCACGTGCACCAAGCGACAAGTCGCCGATTATTACACGGAACATAACATTCGTTGTCATGATACTCGCGATCGACTTACTGGAGCGAACAGGTGGGCGAACACGGACAAGACTAGTCACGCTGTGCGAGACACGCGAGTCTCGTGAGGTTCGCAAAACCAACAAAAGAGAAGACGCACGCGTCGCG